CAGCAGCATGCAGCTAGGCCTTCATCCTTCAATCCCACTCCCTAAAGGAGCTAGGGCACCATGGAGAAATAGCTAATCGAACATCAAGGGCAGGGAGGATAGACAGTATATCAGGATATTTTATTGAGTTGGAAAGTAAAGGAACAGTTGAAAATGAGTAGGGAGATGGGCGGTTGCCCCAGTTATAGATACCAACTGCTCCACTAGCCGTGCTTGTGATAAACAGAGTGTGGAAAATAATGGTTGTAGACAATTGCAAATATTTGATCAGTAAAGTTCTGTGAGTCCATCCTGGTCCGTTAAAAATATTAAAAACTTTGTCACTGCTAGAGGTAACTATTACATTAAATCCTTGCTCTGATAAAACATAGCTAGAGGGACAATTAAGCACTTATCCTACGTCCCATGGTCCTGCCTTCTTACACTTGTCACCTGCAATTGATGAGCAAAAGCTTTTCTTCTCAGTAAAACAGCAATAAGTAAATACTACAGTTAGAAAAGCTATCATCTGAGGAACTCCAAAATCAGCCACAGACTGTCATCTTTCCATGACTTGATTTAAAAGAGTGACTAAGTACAAAAGAATGGAAGAACCAGTTCGGGCAGGGTCATGAGAGAGGCCACAGCCACCGTTTAGCAGAGGGACCTCATACAAGAAGGCAATAGCACAAACTATTTCTTCCTTTGCTCTTCAGTTCAATGCTGGAGAAATGGCAGATGTGTAACTTCCATGAGAAGCCCCTGCAGGGACGGAGGCCGGTAGGCGAGGAGGGCGTCACTGCAGTATCTGAAGTCAGCAGTGCTGTGACATAGCACAGGACTTTCCGAGGATATTTTTATTAATTCTTCTCTTGCTTGAAAAGAAGTCCCAAGACCCACAGCCGCTGGTGTGGAGAACAGCTCAAGTCACCTAGGATCTAGGTTGTCTCATCAAAGGTCTACTGAAGCCCCACTAGAATGGCAGTAATAAAAACAATCACATTCTAACTGTTCATCCTTGAACATCCATTCTCCCGGCTAACATGTCGCAATCTATCCACTCCTGTCCCCAGAGCTGCATACCTCCCTGATGCCCGGATGACAGTGGCTCTGGGGGGCACTGTTTTGTGATGCTTGTGGTTCTCACCTGGAGTCTCTTTTCTCCTGTTTCTTAAGTTCACAGGAGGACACTGACTGGGACCTGCTCTTTATCCCTGGCCTAGCTCACATGGCAAAGATATTCCTCAGGAGAAATGACTCTGAGCCAAGTTAATTAGACACCCAAGAAGTCCAACAAATGTGCAAACATCTTGAGTAAATAACATTGAACAACACACACTGGGTGAAGTGGAATTGCCATAACAGAATGACTTTAAATAAGCCCCAAAGTATCCTCCAAGAAATGTTTTCAAGACAGGAAATATCGCTTAAAAGGGAACTCCATAACAATACAGTATAAGAAAAATACACTAGTTAATTATTAGGTGCAATTCTTACAATAAAGAGCAGATGGCATTGACCTGGACGTTCAAGAAGGAATGAATGACTAGACTCAAGACGTTATTCAGGGAGGAAATGGACCACATCCATTAGAGTTTTTGTTTTAATTTACATGTGTGTGTGTGGCATGTGTGTCTGTCTGTCTCTGTGTGTGTCTGACTGCCTGCCTGTCTATCTGCCTGTCGGTCTTTCTTTCTGTGTGGGATGTGGGAGAGAAGCAGGTGCATGGCACCATACCTGGTGATAAGAACACAACTTGGGGCCGGTTGTGGTGGCGCATGCCGCTAGGATTTGCTGAAGGAGGCAGAGGCAGGAGGATCACGAGTTTGAGGCCAGCCTGGGCTACACATTTATTAGCCGGGCGGTGGTGGCGCACGCCTTTAATCCCAGCACTTGGGAGGCAGAGGCAGGCAGATCTCTGTGAGTTCGAGACCAGCCTGGTCTACAAGAGCTAGTTCCAGGACAGGCTCCAAAACCACAGAGAAACCCTGTCTCGAAAAACAAAAAAACAAAACAAAAAAAAAAAAAGAACACAACTTGGGGAGTCAGTTTCCTTCTTCCACCTTTTCTTGGGGTCTAAGATCCCACTCAGGTCCTCCGACTCTCATTGCCTGTGCTTTTGCATACGTCTCTCTAGCCCATCAGTTACATTTAATTTTTTTTCCTGGTTGAAAAAATATTTAGGTGCCAGAAATGTAGCAGAAGAGAAAACGATATTCAACACGCTTGTTTGAAGAGATGTGCAGGTGAGGTTTGACTACAGAGTTAGGGACATAGCACACATTCCGTGATGTCTAGGGTAGCACCCTGAGTTTAAGGCCAAGGGGATAGAATGATGGATTTTCAGAGGCAAAATCTTCAGATCAAACTCCTGTTATTTTACACACAGGAAAGCTAGAGCCTAAGGAAGCTAGAATAACATGCTCATAATTATAGATCCAACTGATGGAGTAGCAGCAAGATCTAGGTTTTCTAGGTCTGAGAAGATGGCTCAGTCAGTGAGTGCTTGCTGCACAAGCATAAAAGCCTGTGTTTGGTTCCCTGACACCCACGAAGAGCCAGCTCCAAGAGTGCAACCCATATGTACCTGGGCACACACATACACCATATACCCATTTAAAAGATTAATTAAATTAAACAAATAAAGGTCTTTTGTTAGGTTCAATTACCTACAGTAAATTTGTTGATTACTCCTTTGATATTTCAAAAAAATAAAACATACTGTTATATGTGAATAAGTGGTAGGCTCATCACTGCAGTTAAGTAAGCCCAAAATCTGTTATGTCAATCAAGGCTTAATTACATGTTTACTTATTCAAGCATCTGAGGCTGCTCATTCGTTCATTCCCCAGGCGCTCAGACCCAAAATAAGCACACAGAAACTATATTAATTGCAACACTGCTTGGCCTATTAGCTTAGGTTTCTCATTAACTAACTCTTATATTGGAAATTAACTCATTTCTATTATTCTATGTATTGCCACGAGGCTCATGGTTTACTAGGAAGATTCAAGCATCTGTCTCTTTCGGCAGCTACATGGCATCTCTCTGAATTTACCTTCTTTTTCCCAGCATTCAGTTTAGTTTTCCTGCCTACCTCTATTCTGTCCTGTCCTAGGTCCAACCAGCTTTTTGATACATTAACCAATAAAAGCAACACATATACAGAAGGACTTCCTACATCAAGCATCCAGGTGCTTAAGCTTATAGTGGCTCTCTTAAATGGACCTGTGAACCACATTCATCACAGAACCAGAAATGTGTCTGAAAATCCCGGGCATTGGAGCTGAATTTCATGTGTTGGGACCTGCGTCCCTCTGGTTCACATATTGATGATGTTTGGGAGATGGAGCCTAAGGAATGTGATTGATCTACCCATGGATTAATAGGCTATTGAAGGAGTGAGTTTGCTGTATGGTACATGTGTCTGGTCTTGCTATGTGATGCCTACTGCCATGTTTTTGTGCAGAAAGGATGCTCTCACCAGGTCCCATCTCCAAAATACTGTCAACATATGAACCTGAGGGATGCAGTTTCAAACACATGACACAGATGCCAGTATCATGTTCCTGAACTTCCCAGGCCCTAGCTCTGAAAGCTTAAGAAACTTCTATCTTTTATACATGATAGAATCTCAGGTATTTTGTTCTAGTAACAGAAGGTGAACCAATACAATTGTCACTTGACTTTATACACTTCATATTCACTTATACACTTACTCACACACACACATACATGCAACCATGCATGAACACATGCACTCATGCATCCACACACATGCATGTATGCAACCACACATGAACACATGCACGCGTGTGTGTGCACACACACATATGCCTTTCATCAGACCATCTGCAGATAATACAGAGCAGACAAAGTCTGGAGACTATGATATAAATCACAGTTACCCTTTAGATAGAACTTCTAGCTTCAAAGCCCAGAAGCTCACCTAACAAAAGCACTGGGTTTGGAGTCAGAAAACTTGGACCAGTTTTGCTTTTTCTAGAAATGGAGTCTTATTCTTTCCCTGTCACATCTCAAGATCGCTGTGAGGTCAAACTTGGTAATCTAAGCATATAGTACAAGCAATCTCAATCAAGAGATTACTATCTCTAGCACCACAAAAAACATTTAAATAATCTATGTAGATAGATATTTAAACTGTAGCATGACTGACAAAAGGATATACACACTTGTTGCTCTATATCCAAGTCAAATTTTATAGACTTAAACAGCCAGGTAGTCTCGCGGGTCCACAAATCTTACGTCTTGGCTCTCTTGGCAAATACCACCAACCCTGGGAGGACACAGAAACTTCTCTCTGCCTTTCCGAACCTGTCCACTTCATGGTCCAGTCCCTAGCCAGGTGCTGGGTCATAGGATCTTGAATTCTGTGTTCAGAGCTGCAGAGGAAAGAAGGGTTTGTTTCTAGGATCAGCTCTCTTGAAACTATAGGCTGCCTCCTGATGCCCTAGTACCCAACAGCACGTTCGGATGCAGGCCGCTAAGGAGCCCTCTTTCCATTCAATCATAACAGGGAACACACTCACTTCTATAAATAAAAATCACCACCTCGGCCTCCCATGTCCTTCAAAATGCAAAAGAAATAAGAGGAGCCTGCAGCTCTGACACCAGAGTAGTTCTGCAAGTCCACTTGACTCTCCTTCTGGGCGGAGTGAAAATTAAATGGAGAAAGCAAGTACTCCTTGGAGGTGACGTTCTGACTTGATGGATTTGACTTCTCCATAACAGATCCCGGGCAAACGTCTTGTCTGCAAGCAGAGGTGAGTCATAACTATAGGATTATCATGAAAATTAAATACAATGATTCAAGAAAAAGTATTTAACAAGATTAGTGTTGAGCACTCATTTCTCCACAGACTCCCATTCTTGAGAGCTTCAGGGCCCTAAAGGTAGATTAAATTAAAAGTAGGTTAAGTTCTCAGGTGGAAAGGGTCTAGAAGGCCAACAGAAAGTCATTTCAAAAAATAACTGGGAGGAGGTGGTCGCAGCAGGCGCCCTGCCCGGCTCTGCTGGCGCTGCGGCGGAAGCGCCTTCCCTCAGGACATCAATGCAAGCCTGAAGAAAAAGTAATTGCTTCATTTTAAGCCATGGCATATCAGTTATACAGAAATACAACTTTGGGAAACAGTCTTCAAGAGAGCCTTGATGAGCTCATACAGTCTCAACAGATCACCCCCCAGCTTGCCCTTCAAGTTCTACTTCAGTTTGATAAAGCTATAAATTCAGCATTGGCTCAGAGAGTCAGGAACAGAGTCAATTTCAGGGGCTCTCTAAATACATACAGATTCTGCGATAATGTTTGGACTTTTGTATTGAATGATGTTGAATTCAGAGAGGTGACAGAACTTATTAAAGTGGATAAAGTGAAAATTGTAGCCTGTGATGGTAAAAATACTGGCTCCAATACTACGGAATGAGTAAGAAATGCGGCTTTTTTATGCCACCTTCTGTTATTTTCATCGCTTTTTGAAGAGAAACATAGAAGAGACTTTTTTTTTAATTTATTCTCACGGTGCAGAAATGACAACACTGTGCTATACTACCCAAGGGTTCCACAGAGAGAAGCATGTGGCTCTGTTCTCTTACATGACCTTTAGTACACAGCATAAATGGAACTTTTTTAAATGACAAATCAAAAGTGGTTGCCTTCAAAAGAATATTCTTCAATAAACTTGTTTTAAAACTTAAAAAAAAAAATAACTGTTTGGCTCCTAACAGTATAGTCTTGTCCGTTTCAACAATGTCCCCAATGAGACCAAATGAGTTCAAATACCCAGTTCACAATACCTTCAAAGTAAACCATGTTTCCAACCCAACTCATGGCCTCCTGAATCAATAATCTTTGCTTCCTAACTAAAGGGACACGTCAGAGTAGGCCGTCTACAGTTAACGAAGTGTCAGAGGTGCGAGACGCTTAGGAGCTCCTGTTACTCAGACCACAACACAGTTGAGGTATAGCAGTGAGGCTTTGGTGTGCAGCCATTTGGGATCAGGCTCTTCCAGGTGGTCTTAGGCGTGTAAGTGAACAAAAACAAAAGAATGTGGAAGGTTCTGTGAGTTTATTGACAATCAAGTTTTGGGATAGAAGTGGTGTGTATTATCCCATCCTTGTTCCTTTGCCCCCACACAACCATAGAGAAAACTGGAAAATGTATCCCACCAGGTTTCCCAGTGAGAAATGGGTGGGAAGCCAGAAGTCCTAGGGAACAAATAAGGCTCTTAGGATACAAATGACTCTGCTCAGGGAAGTTGGAAGCAATTCAAAAAAAAAAAAAAAAAAGATGTAGCTCAGCATAGAAGAGAAGATTAAAAAATAAATAAATAAATAAATAAATAAATAAATAAATAAATAGAAGGGAAAGAGTTAAAGAGTTAACTGGCTCACAAGACTGCAAATCAATACCAAACAGTCGAGGCAAGTTTCCCCTTCAGGTTTGTGATGGTTTATCAGCCAGACAAGAATCTGGATGCCCCCTGGAAGATGGTCCTTTGATGTGCCTGTGAGAAACTATCTTGCCGACATTAATTGATGTGGGAAGTTTCATCTTAATTGTGGTCAGGACCATTCCCTGAGCTGAGAATCTCATACTGTATAAAGGAGAGAGAGAGCTCAGTTTCCTGATTCTGTGCATGATGTGACCAGCTACTTCAAGCTCCTGCCGCCTTGACATCCCCACTGTGATGGACTGTACCCTAGAATTATGAGTCAGGATAAAGCAACCCCTTCTCCCTTAAATTACTTTGTCAGAGTATTTTACCTAAAACTTTTAATATTATTTTACATATATGAATGTGTGTGTATGTATGTATGTATGTGCACCATGTGCATGCAGTACCCACAGAGGCCAGAAGTGGACATTAGATCCCCTAGAGCTGGAGTTATCTATGGTTGTGAGCTGCCATGTGGGTGCTGGGAATTGAACCCAACAGCCAGTCCCTGAACCATCTCTCCAGCCTGAATAGTGTTGTCACAGCAACAGAAGACACTAAGACAGCATCCTATGCCCTACTATACTCTATGGCTATTCCATGCTATGGGATCAAGTCTCTTTAATTCCTTCCTACACTTCTACTGTAAATTTTAATTCTTTTGTGCACATTCAGATGGAGACTGATAAGTATTTTCTAAACGTACAGCTTTCTGTCATTTTAAGTAAATGTTCAGTCTAGTGTGGGGAGGGAGACACTCTCATTGGAAAGAGTTAACTGGAATTGCAGATCCAAATTAAACCCAAACCAACTCATATTTAACTAAATCTTCTTCAAATAAAAGTACTATTGCTAAGATTATCAAGCCAATTGAAGACTCTCCACTATATGAAATTTTAGACTTCACTGCCAATCAAAATAAATTCAAATTCTGCAAATATGTACAAAGCTCCCAGCATCACATTTAGCTGTTCTACACAGCGACCCTACATCTTCTTTCGTTCACTATCCCACTTCCCTGGTTTCTTTCACAGCAAAACTCTTCCAAAGAGTGGCCCATACTTTCCATCTCTGTGATGTTTTTCTCATCTATTTACCTCCTTCCCCATAAAAACAAGCCTTGGCAAGGTCACCCAATACCACATTTCCAGACCAAGATCAGATTTTCAGCCCTCTTCAAACTGGACAAATCAGTCACTCCCATCTCATGGAAACAGTTCCAGCAAGCACACCACACTCCTTTGGTTCTTCTGCTTTGTTGATTTATCCTGATTTTACTTTGAGGGTTTCTCCTCAATCCTTTGTCCTCCAAATATTGATGTCCGAGGTCTCAGACATTTTTCTACTTTATTAACCACCCCTATCGATGTGATAACATCTCAAATATTAAATAGTGTCACTATGGTCTGATTATTCACCCTTAGTGTCACTATGGTCTGATTATGTTTCACCCTTAATCTCCACGCAACAGCATTGGAAGGTGAGGTCTTTGGAGGGGTGTGTGGGTATTGAGGGCTCTACACTAGTGAATGGATGGACAGAGATTCCTCTAGTGAAGGGTTTATGGGAGTGGCTGCTTGTTCTTGCCTTTCTAAACTCCAACACATGAGAATACTACAAGAAGGCTCTCACCAGGTGCCAGCACCTTACTACTGAATCTCCCAGCCTCCAGAACTGTGAGGGCTAAAGCTCACACTCTTTCCAAGTGTCCAAGTGTGTAGTGCTGTCCTAGAGGTGGAAAGTAAACGACGACAGTCACCCACTCCGCCAATCACTCAGGCTCATAGGCAGCTCCCTGCCAGATGTTTCCCGCCATTATGTCCTGGAGAGTTCAGTTTTAACACACCCAAATGAGAGTCTGGATTCCCCAGTCACCTCAAACTTACACTTCCTCAAGGCTTCCTCATCCCAGGAAATTCCTAGTTAAGTCTCCCAATTCCTGTCTAAAATTCTCTCTCCATCCCTTTCCCCCTACCTCCCTCTACTTCCGGTAAATCTGCTAGCAAATTCTGTCATCTGTATCTTAGAACCTTACTTCCAGAATGCAGCCCCATCTCACCCACTCCACCTCTTTGAGCTCACGTCACCACTAACATTTTGCTGAACAGCTTTGTAAAATCCTCCTGGCTTGAAGTCCACACTCCTTCCACTATGGTCTCTTCTCCACTCGGCAAACCCAATTAAGCCCTAAGTTTAAGAAAGCTTGTAGGAACCAAGAAGGAAGGATAATATCAAGGAAACAGTATCTTACAGAAAGGAAACATTAGTGTCTCCGAGGGAGTCCCAGTGGATATATAAACCACACTGAAGGCCAGCCCTATGCCCAACAGTAGATGGCAAACACAAAACAAACTCCAAGGTATTTGCCAAGATTTTTTTTTTGTCTCTTATTGCTTTGTTTGGGATTTTTTTTTTTACCTTACTGGTCTTTTGCTTGTATGTTATGGTTTCCTATTTTCTGTCTTTATGTTGTGTGTGTTTCTTGCTCTTCCTTTGTTTCTTTTTCCTTTCCTATGGACTTGGGCGACTTTTTCTTTTTTTCCTTTTTTTGTTTCTTTAGCATTTTTTTTATTGATTTTTATTGAGCTCTACATTTTTCTCTGCTCCCCTCCCTGCCTCTCCCCTCCCCTGAAACCCTCTCCCAAGGTTCCCATGCTCCCAATTTACTCAGGAGATCTTGTCCTTTTCTACTTCCCGTGTAAATTAGATCCATGTTCATTTTGTTTTATTCTCGTTTGTTTCATTTGCCTGTTTCTCAAGAGAGAGAGAAAGAAGGCGTGGCATTTGAAGGTGGGATGTTGGGGAGGATCTAGGAAAAGATAAGGAAAGGGAAATTGTAATCAGTGTATACTGCATAAAAATTATTTTCCATTTAAAAAATGTAAAATTCCTAAGGAAGTGTGATGTTATCTATCCTGTTTACTATTGTACCTGTGGTACCTGGCACACAGTGAGCCTGGACTAGATACGAAATGGATGTTGGTCTGTCACCTGCTGTAAATGGATGACATCCAGTACACAGATCTTGAAATTCTATCCCCCTGAAGACGGGTCAGAACTTCCACTTACAGGATGGTGAGCCACGCGTACTTTTCACCTAGTCTTCTTGCTGCTCAAGACTAAGTTGGTGGTCATTGTTCATAAAACAAGAGTGGGAGGATTCTGAGTGGTGGCAGAAGAAAGGCGCCCAGCAAAGACTCAGAGACCTAAAGAACAAGGTGACATTGAGCTCCTCAAGTTTTCTGTCTGCCTCCTCTTTCAAGAGCTAGAGCTTATGGCGCTAACAAAGATGAGGCAGAACACGCAGAGACACAAAACACAATGGAAATCCTCCCTTTTCCTCTCCCCGCCCCTCTCCACCTCCCTCTCCTGAGACCAGGAACAAAATAGCCTGGCAAAATAGAAACTCATAGGAAATGGGTGCTTTACCACAAGGGGAAAATGTATCCCCACTCCCACCCACCAACAAAATTCAGAAAAACTTCCCTACCCCACCCCTGAGCTGGGAAAAGCACTTTAAGCCCTGTCAAGTTGTCAGAGGGCATTAAGAGGAGCCAGCACTTTAAGTGTTCCCATAGCCTCTCAGTGCAATGTGAGATCTGTGGGGAGTCTGTCCCTGGACCCTAATCCTCCTTCTGGTCCAGGCGCTGTTTAGAGAAGGCTTAGTGAAGAGCGGGGCTGTTCCCCACTTCCCAACCAAAGTGAGGCTGCTCACTCTTGCTCCCCACAGTCAGGAGAGACAACTTAGGAGGAGAAAGGAAATACAAAGTCTCCAACCAGTGGAGGGCAAGTATGAACCAGAGTTCCCATCCCTGGCAACTGTAAGGAGGGGTTTTCACTCTCAGGTAACCTGGACTTCTGCCCACACTAGGCAGCAATGTGGTGATGCTCCCACATCCTTAGCTGGAACAGTGTAAGGAGACGCTAGTGAAACAGAAGGCACAGCTCAGCAGATGAGCACATGCTTAGCATGCCTAAACCCTGGGCTCAGTCTCCAACATACACCAACACACACATATGTGCATGTACACACACACATGCACACACACATATAACACATACACCAACACACACGCACGTACACAAACACCAACACACACACATACCCCCACACACACAAACACACATACACACACATGCACACACACACCCCAAAGCAGATTTTAGCGAGATTCAAAGTTTCATAATTCTCATATGTCCCAGTTGAAAATCACTCACCATTCCAAGTACTAAGAAGATCTCAAATTGAAAGAAAAAAAAATGAGACA